GAAGGTCATTATTTATGATAATGATGACAGATTCATTTCTAGATTTTAGAGAGGTATTTAGAAAGGTCTGGGAACTAAATTAAACTTCAAATAAGCTTTTTACCCGTAGACAAATGGCGAATTTGAGATGATTATTTAGGTGTTGAAAGATCTATTGAGATTATGTGCACTTGATTATGGAGGGAGTTTGGAGGATCACATTTTGTTATTGAATTTGCTAATAATAATAGCTTCTAGTCAAGTGTTTATATGACACAGTATGAGTCATTATATGGTAGAAGGTGCATAAGACCTTTATCTTCGGTAGAGGTGGGTGAAAGAAGGTTGATGGGTTATGAGTGGGTAGAAGATGGCAGTGAAAAGATTAGACTAATCCAAAATAGATTGAGAGCAATACAAATCATGCGGAGGAAGTGTTGTGACCCAAAGTATTGGGCAGTTGAATTTGAGCTAGGAGTTTTTTTTATTTTTGAAGGGCAATCCCATGAAAAGGGTAGTATATTTGATGGAGTTGGAAAGCTTAGTCCAAGATTTATTGAGCCTTTTGAGGTGATTGGTAGGGTTAGTAATTCTACTTATCAATTATTACTACCTGATCATATGCCCGATGTGCATGATGTGTTTCATATACAGTTTTAAGAAAGTGGATTTCTGATGTTGAGCACAGAATTCTTGAAGATGGGGTTGAGATACAACCTAACTTGACTTATAGAGAGGAACCAGAGCATATTTTGGCCTTCAATGTGGGACAATTGAGGAGCAAGTCTCAATGGTTAAAGTTCAATGGAAGCGCCAATTAAAAAGGGAAGTCTTGTGTGAAAAAAGACTAATACGAGGCTGTTTTATCTAGATTTATTTGATAGTTAAATATTTTGAATGTTGAGGATGACATTTTCTTAAGGAGAGGAGAATGTAATGACTGTTACTGTAATATATCAGTGTACCTGGTGAGACTTGATTATGGGGTCTCGGTGAAACTTGTGTGTTTATTTTATGTTATTGAAGTTTTGCTGTTTAATTTAGTTGTCGATTTTTAGTAGTTCTTGTTTCATGCCTGATTTATTAAATATCTTTTTCAAATTGTAAAGCAAACCCCATTATATATCAAGCATATTTTTGCCTTTTTTTATGGGCATCACAAGTAAGAAAATAAATTATTTTTTTGTTAGATTTGTCTTCATTAAGAAATTGTTAAGTCGTTATACATGTGGGCTTCTAGAACCATCTGGAATTTGTTTTGCAAACCGTTTTCATTAATGTATTCTGTACATATTTTTATATTTATTGACTATTTCCCATAATTTTTGGAGTCATCCATATTAAGATATAAAAAGATTCTTTAAAAATATATATTTAATTAATATAAAAATTTACCTAATTGCCATTATATCCTTTATTTAATTAAAATCATAAACATCAAGATCCACTTACAGAAAGCTATTCCATGCATTTAATCTTTTCATTATTTTTCTCAAACCATGATATGTAGAGAGAAAAAGGAATAAAAAAATAAATTTAGAGAGAAAGGGAGATTTGGGGCCAAAAAGCCGATTTCATCCATTGGGCAAGTTGAGGAAAATGTAATGTTAACCTTCTTCAGATTTTAAATTCGCTGTTTTTCTTATAAGGTTTTGGTATTTTATTTGTCAAAAATATTTATAAACTTTTCACCGCACAATTTTTTATATGTTGTAGATTAAATTGTGTTGAACATATCAACATAAAAATATTTATTTCTGTGATAGATATTTTTTGTTGTACAATATTTTGTATATTTTTGCACGTGTATTAATTTTGATAGAAATGCTTTAAATATTATTCTAGACATTTCATAAAAGTGGTTTTGCAAGTTTTGCTTGACGATAAGTGCAGGTTTATTTCCTCTGCTGATTTTATTATTACTTTTGCATGTTTATATGTACCATTTTCTACAGCATATTGTGATATTGATATGTCAAAATTATTGGCATTTATATGTTTTTATATCAAAATATGTGCCAAAAATGATAAAAAAGAGGGTGTTGCATGTAATTATGATTGGGCAGATGTATGTTATGTGCAATCAAATGGAGTTATAAGGGATTTTGCACCTATGTATTTATCTATCTGTGTGTTTGATATCCCGAACAGATGTAAACAAGTGGGGGTATAAGTGAAAGTGGAGTTATATGGAGCGTAGGGTAAATATAAGCAAATGGAGGTACAAATGGAAGCTGAGGTATAAAGAGGCGAAAGAAAAGTTTTAAAATAATTCAAATAAATTTATTTTTTGATTTTCATGTTATTTTCCTGCTCTTATGATATCATGTTATTTATACTGTTATTTAGTATATGTTTACTATAGTTACAATTTTTTGTATTGGCACTGTGATAGATATTACATATGATATTTTGATATGCTAGATCTATTTACATCAAATAAATATTTATATTTTTTCAAATATTAAAAACTACAGTAGATTTTGAGTAGCCTATTGAGTTGTGGTTGTTCACTATGCTTTAACGTGTGCGAACCTGATTTTAGGTATGTCAATATCTTAGACATTTATTTTTGATAGTCAGGATGACCTTTAATTTTTTTTTTAATAATAGAGAGATTAAACCATGATTGTTATATATGTTTCTTTTTGGTGTATAGTATTTTGATCTAAATGAATTTTAATTATGTTTATTTTTCAACACTTGATGATACTAATGGCTTTGTGTATGAAATTTGAATAATATAAAAAAAAATAAGATTCCTTCAAAATAGATGTTGGGAAATAATTTATATGTTATGACTTTGACACGCGAGGACCCGCCTTGATATGATTGGTTGCATCGATTTGGGTTGTGACAGCTGGCTGGTCGCCTGATCTTTTTGTGCCCACTTGACCCGATATTTCTTTTGCAGTAAGTGTAGTGAGACGCTACATGCATGTTCCAATGAAGAGTCATATGGATGCAGTGTATTAGATTCTAAGGCATTTGAAGAGTGCAACAGAGAAATAGTTGATCTACAAGAAGAATAAGCATATAAATATTGTGACATTTGTGATTTGTCTAGGCAAGTTGTGCTGATGACAAAAGATCCACATTAGAATACTACATGTTTGTAGGTGGCAACCTAGTTTCGTGGAAGAGCAAGAAACAATCAATTGTGCCAAAATCAATAGCAGAAGCAGATGGGCCATGACATTAGGAGTCATAGAGATGATGTGGCTGAAAGCCTTGTTGGTTGAACTCAAAAGTAGATCAGGGAAATCAAATGAAGTTATGGTGTGACAATTAAGTCAACAATCAACATTTTTAATGACTTAGTGCAACATGATAAAACCAAGCATGCGTAAGTTGATAGGTTCTTCATCAAGGAAAAGTTGAATAACGAACTACTGAAGTTAAGTCATGTTGCCATTAGAGGGCAAGTGGTAGACTGCTTACCAGAAGACTTAGCTCATCAGGTTTGTCTAGGTTATGTGACAAGATGGGCTTAGTGAATATCTTTTGCCCATCTTGAGAGGGAGCGTTGAGATTTGTATCTATTATGGGTCCTAGTTGTAAATAATTGAAGTCTAGGGATTTATTTGTAAATGTTGCAACTTGTAAGGCTCTATATAAGCCCGTCATCAATGAAATGAAGGATGTATTTTTAGCAATAATTTATATTGAATTAGTTATGATGTTCCCATTCCCTTAAGAGTTTACTTTTCTTTAGAGATTATATCACGGTATCTATGTTTACTTTATTAAATTTGGATGAAATTTTTATTCAACCGTTTAATGAAAGTTAAACTAATATTTTAGTCTTAGCTTATGAGTTATATTCTTCTTAGCAACCTTAAAATAGATTGCCCATATATTTGTTATTTTATTTTCTATGATATAATTTCTTAGAATTTGGATCGATTCCCTTGGTTTTGGTATTGGGTTTGGTTGAGCTAATATCTTTATTGCCTTTATTTCTTGGTTGTTGGGGCCCTTGTTTCAGCTTGGTTTGGTTTTGTAGGACTTTGTGTGGATTCTAGTATTTTTGATGTTTTGTATGTTTTTGTTTTTTTATGATTACCATGGGAAAGATAGTTGGTGGAGGTTATTTTATGGAAGCTATAGTCATATATTGACTGAAGCATTATTGTTGCTTCTGATTTCTTGTTTTCCTTCTTCCTGAGGCTTTTATGACATGTTTTAATGTTGTTGATCATTGAAGTTGATAGCATTGGATTCTTCTTCCACTATTGTCTAGTTCTTATTGGCCATATTGTTTCTTATGTTGTATTTATTTGTAGTTTTGGTTTGTTTGTTGGTTGTGTTTTTGTGTGATTATATATGTGTCTTAAGTGTTGTATGTCTTTAATTTTCTTTAATATAAGTTGTGTGTGAACCTCATCTTTCCTAATAAATAAAAAAAATCTATTTAAAACAATAAAATTTTCGCCCTCAAGCATGAAAAATCTAAACTATGAAATTAGAGAATCCGATCCACTTCAATTAAAATACAACAATAACAATAAGGTTTTATCCCACTAAGCGATGTCAGCTACATGAATCCTTTTTCTCCATTGTATCTTATTGAGTGTCATATATTTTTTTAAAATTCTAATATATTGAAATCAAGTTTTACACAATATGCTCAAATCTTTTTAAATTTAGCGTATGCTTTCCTTAATATAAGTTGAATCTAAAACATCTACTCTCTGAAAAGTAAACCACTTCAATTAAAATAGATAGATATTTTATTTAAATAAATAATAATAATTTAATTAATTATATTCTTAAAGATTAACTCATAAATCATGTAATTTTTTTTTATTGGAATAAAATTTACTACGGGATTCTTTTAAAAAAAAACTCATTTGATAAGCAAAATAAATTTGGCCCGGATTTAATTCGAGCTGAACATGAATGAATTCTAATTCAAATCAAGTTGGGATAAATACATTTTTCACGAGCAAGTGCACATTTCAAATAAAAAAAATATATATTAAACTGAGCCGCATCACTATTGAATGTTCACCGACGGCTAGTCGGCCCTACCGAGCCGTAATGTTCTTCACCCTGGGAGAAGTTTAGGATTTTGGTTTCATGTAAGGCAACAGAAGTGAAAGGCCATGCCCGCCGGCATGATAAAGTGATCCCATAAGCCCTCGGCAATCCCGAATCTAGCCTTTTATGCCTGGCTGCATCCTCGGGGTCGAACCGAGGTCGCCGTTAGGCTTCTTGGGCGGTGGAGGAAAGAACTTCGATCGTTATACGTCGGTATTCCTACTATTTTAAATCACACCGTTTCATCGAACTCGATCGCGCTTATTAGGTTTTCGAATTGCTTACAGAATTCCAGTTGACATATTTCGAGACAGGTATGCCTCTTCGTAATTGTTTCCTTCGCTGATGTTTGGGCAGGGATGAGTTGGGATTAGAGTTTGATTTGATCGAAGATCGTCTCCAATTTCTTGGAAAAATGAATTTTTGATCCATTTACTTTATATCAGACCTAATCATTAAACAAAATCATTTCGAATTGTTTTAATCAGTGATGCGTTGAATGTTTCAGGCCTTTATTGCTATCATTTGTGGGATATACTTTTGGAATTGGTAAATTTGAGAAAACCGAGACCCTAGCAAAGGCCAAGCTTTTTTGTTGGAAAGATGACAGAATTCGTTGATCTTGAGGCGCAGGATGGTGTTAGAATGACCTGGAATGTATTTCCTGGCACGAAGCAAGAGGCAAGCAGCTGCGTCATACCTGCAGCTGCCATTTATACTCCGCTGAGGCCGATCCCAAATGTTCCTGTACTTCCATATGCTGCTCTCCGTTGCCGGATCTGCCGCTCCATTCTCAACCCTTTCTCCATAGTTGACTACGCTGCCAAAATTTGGATATGCCCGTTTTGCTTCCAGAGAAACCATTTCCCTCAACACTATGCATCCATATCTGAGGATAATCTTCCCGCTGAGCTTTTTCCACAGTACACAACAATCGAGTATGAGTCCACACACGATGCAGGTCCTGCAGTGCCTCCAGTTTTTTTATTTGTCGTTGACACTTGTATGCTTGAGGAGGAGCTTGGGTACTTGAAATCCGCTCTTGCACAGGCCATTGAGTTGCTGCCAGAGAAATCACTTGTTGGTCTTATCACCTTTGGAAATTATGTGCAGGTTTGTCACGGTAATCCATTTTTTAAGTTTTTATTGCTTTATTTGGTAGTTTGGATATGAATATGATTATCATGCAGGTTCATGAGTTAGGGTTTGGGCAAATGCCAAAGTCATATGTATTTAAGGGATTGAAGGAGATTAGTAAGGATGAAATTCTTGATCAGATGAACTTCTTTGCTGGTAAGCCAAAGCCAGCGGTGGGAGTGATTGCTGGCGCCAGAGATGGACTCTCAGCTGAAAGCATTGCGAGGTTTCTTTTGCCTGCTTCAGAGTGTGAATTTGTACTTAATTCAGTTAAGTTTCAATTGTTTTATATTTATTTATGAGGAATGGCATTTTAAAATGCACAAAATGTATGTTTCTTCAGATTTCATGCTCTACATATATGGCTGTCCGTCCAGATACCCTTAGTGACGCGAAATGAAACCCGTTTAGGGGGTGTCTGGTAACGGATTTAGTAAAGGCTATAAATCCATATTTACTAAATCCTGCCAATAGTGGGATTTAGTAAATCTGGGATTTTAGGAAAAACTGTGAAGGAATTGTGAAACACTAGGATTTACTAAATCCTAGATTGATAAGTTGCATTTTGTTCTTGTCTACAAGATTTATGCTAAATCCAACTTAAATCCGTTACCTGATAGCCCCTTAGATTCAAAATTTTTTACCATGTCTGTTTTCATTTGATTTTTATAACCATAGATGAAAATTAATACAATAATAACATCAATAATATTGACAACAACAACAACAAGCCTTTTTCCCACTAAGTGGGGTTGGCTGCATGAATTATTTTTCTGCATTGTCTTATTAAGTGACATATTTTCATTTAATTTTAATAAATTAAGATAATTTTTTATACCACAAGCACAAGTCTTTTTTAGGCACAACTATTCCTTTTTGACATAAGTTAAATCTAAAATATCCACCCTCCTAAGTGGGTCATCAGACGACCGGCATTTAATGTAACCAGACCCAAAAATGTCCCACGCACTTATAAGCTGCCTCAAACGGGCCCTTAAATCTTAGATTCAAAAGTTGCTTTTTGCTGTCTAGCAAAATTTAAATTAAATCCAACTTAAATCCATTTCCCAACAACCCCTTAATCTCATATAATTCTAAGCTGGGAAAAAATTCCTGTTCTTTGCATAGTCTTATAACTTAAATTGGTAAATGAAATCGCCAAAAATGTTAAGCGTATCGCAACTACTCCCAATATTGAATATCATTGACTTTTACTCCATTATCATTAAATGCAGCTACATTGTTTGTTTCAGTAGCTGTTTTCTTTCTGATGGCTTTATGATATTTATACTCGATTATTCACTATTAATTGCTGTCTAACTTGATATGATTTTAGTTTAATCTGATTATTCATTACATGTTTAGGTATAATGTTGTTTATTTATTTGTTTATTGAATTGGAATATATATAGGTTTTGGAGGAACTTCAAAAAGATCCTTGGCCAGTTCCTGCAGATCAACGGGCAACAAGGTGTACAAGTGCAGCCTTAAGTGTAGCAGCAAGTTTATTAGGGGTTTGTGTTCCTGGTTCTGGTGCAAGAATTATGGCTTTTGTTGGTGGTCCATCAACAGAGGGACCTGGCATGGTGAGTTGACTCAATTTCTATAGAATCTGTGAGGGAATATCACATTTTTTTCTATTGCCATACTTATGTTACAGGAGGTCATAGACTATTGTGAACTACTAGATGTCACTCATTCTGGATGCTTTGCAAAGACTGTTTGAGTTTTGTGTATGAGTTCATTTTCCTACTAAGTTGACTATTATATAATGCAAATCTTATTGTTTTAGTCAAATAGGGGGTGAGGTTTGTTGACATTTCACTGATTAGTTGAGAATGAAGTGACACGAGTACTTTTAACACATCTAGAACTTGTCGTATTCTATTATGCATTGTGCCTGGTTTTTGCCAGAACAAGAGTTTACTACCATTTTTCTATATTATCATGCAATTCTCAGGAAATGTTTTGTTCGTTGTTATATTCGCCAGTGACATAGATACTCTTCTTTTGCACTTTTACACTGCTTTTCAATCAAACTTTTGCCTACGTTGAGAATATTATGCCACAATTCATTCTAATTTTTTCACTTGTTCTATTTTGTCAGTTTTTTCCATTCTAGCTGAATTTACATTCAGCAGAATTATCCATGTCATCTATTTTTGGATTCATGTGTACTCCTATATCCTTTATTAAGAAATACTTTTAAGTTCAATTCCAGTTCAGTAGATTTTGGTAACAAATCCCTATTTACTGAGTACTGTTGGCAATTCTTACTATCTACTTCTTTAGTTGGCCACTTAATTAACCTTTATGCATTGCTATTTTCTCTTTTTTTTTCTGCTTGCCAAATTCCGAAGAGATTTGAACTTCGTGTTTGACTCATTTCATGTTTACCATGAGATTAATTGGACTTCTGATGTAGTACCTATCTATGTTTGCTATTCTGCTGAAACCATTTTCTTGGTTCAATTGACTTTTGTTTTAGATTTTGATCAGTTGACCTAAGTGGTAATAAAAAATATCGCTTTGAAATTCATATTTGGAAATTACAAAAGTTTTGGTAGTATAAGTTTCACTTTACTAAAAGATTCCAATTTTTATTTAGATTAAACTATCAAATAACAATGCTCTCTGAAGATGATTTTATGTATGTTGCATAGTTGCCTATCTTTCAAATATTAATTGGGACATGCTTGCTTTACTTTGTTCCTTTTACTTTGTTGTTATTGGCTATTTGTTTATGAAATCACAGTGGAGGTTTTCTTATGCTGTGGTAGAGCTTTATCGGAAGTACATGTTGTTTAGGTTTTCTTACACTTTTGGTAGTGATTTATTGGAATTATTTGTTAGTTATTTTATCCAAATGCAATCATTTTACCGCACCTATCCAATACCGTTTTCTTACACTTTTGGTAGTGATTTTTTGGAACTATTTGTTAGTTGTTTTATCCAAATGCAATCATTTTACCACACCTCTCCAATACCTTTTTTCCTTTCTTTATTATATCTTTTTCAATCTACATAATCGTGTAGGTTCAACTTGATTTTTATCTTAATCTTTTGCTTATAAAGGGCTGAAGTAGTGTATTGTTACTAAAGTTTCTTGTTTCTTTTATCTGTTTCTGTTTTTACTTATGGAACCTCTTTATAATTTAAGGCTTTATTTTGACTTTTTTTAGATTGTTTCAAAGAATTTATCTGAGCCAATTCGTTCCCACAAGGACTTAGATAAAGGTGGTGCTCCACTTTACAGCAAAGCAGTAAAATTCTATGAGGGGCTTTCAAAGCAACTTGTTCATCAAGGGCATGTGCTAGATTTGTTTGCTTGTGCGCTTGACCAGGTCTGTAATGTGATAATTTTTTTCCTTTGTTGGCTTCGATTTATTAATATTGTAATTCTCTTTGCAGCATTTTATTTCATTATTTTGCCTCCTCGTATCTGAATTGAGATTGGCCTGTGGTTTTAGGGCCATTTATGTACATAGCACCAACACATTGTTATCTATAAAACAGCCATCCTCTTGCATTTTTTTTTTTCAAATTCTCACTCTTGAAATTCAGAATATAGCCTTAATCCATATATTTATTTTTATACAATTGCCATTGGTTTGATCATGACACGAATAAATTCATGGGTTCGGTTGTTAAAAAATGATTTTGGTGATCATTTTGTAAATAATAATGTTTCGGGTGGTATATATATAAATATCCCTTTTTAATATGATTAACTGCTTTCATGCATTTTGCTTATCAGCATTTTACTATACCATAATAAGAAAGTGCACTTCATTTGAATTTAAGCTTAAAGATACCATTTTATACTGGAAGGCTTACGTACATACCAAATAATTTCCATGTATTTTTATATTTAATACCTAAACTGCAATTTTTACATATATGCCATCTTACCTATGCATGAAAGGTCCGTTTTACCTTTTTTTTAAGATAAAATATTGATATTTTTTATGTGATATGAAAGATTTGGGTGGTATAAATGTAAAAGGTAAAGTTTAGGTGTTAGATATGAGGAATTGGGTGGTATGTATGTAAATGCCTCCTTTATATTTTAGTTAGACATATTAAGGTCATTCAACATAAACAAAAATTTGAACGCTGCTGACTCATAGTCATGGCGAGAACAATAATACAAACAAATTAATTTAGATGAAAATTCAATAGCCTTCTACTAGAAATAATGAAGAGAAATTCAAAACCAAGAAAGCCATGCATTCTGATGAAATCCAAGCAGTGGTATAAAACCAGCATGCATCAATCCTGAGCAAAAATTAATCGCACTTTCTATCCTATACAAATTGTTAGAGCAAGGAATACTACTTGAAGGAAGGAAGTCACCCAAATAAGAGGCACGCATTACTTTTGTTTGTGTAGATGATCTCTTCTAAATATTTTCAGCCTCCCACTTGATCAAGAAGTTGATTACCTAAAATACAATGAATAACACATCCAATTAGAATTTTATTCAAAACCAAGTTGATTTTATGTTTTACATGTTTGAATCAATATTTATAATCACAAATTCTCTTTGAACTCCTTTACAAGTTGCTTATACTGAAAGTGAAACCCACTCATTATCGGAACCAGAAGTCTCAGCAACTTGTACGGCAATTAAGTCTACCATCTCAACCACAAACTCTACCATGGAAAATGGGCGCAAATCACAAACAACCAGGAAAACTTTTTTGAATGCCAAATCACGTGAAACCTACAAATTGTAGATGCCCATAAATTATGGCTGGAAATTTATGGGACACAAGAAGAGAATATCATGGATCTGTGATGCGCAATGATGAGGGTATTTGAAGATTTACTCTCCTTGGAAATGCAGGATGCAAATAAGTTGTCTTTTTGAGTATGATGTTGTATTAGCTGTTTTGTTTCCTAGTTCATTTATTGTAATTATGCGGATGATGATGGTGCGAAAGTCAACCGGTGTGTTCTTTACGCATGAGCTTGCGAACAGTGAAATAATTGATAGCAAATAACTGTCTAGCCTGCCTGGCTGGTGAGAAAGTGGGAGGGGTTCATCCAAGGATCTTCACTGATGACCATAATCAGGAAGCCTCTTTTGTCTTTATTAAAGAGACTTATGAACAACAGTGGATTAATTAACTAAGTAATTTATTTTATCCTTTTTTAAACCTTTTGGGCTTGTGGTTTATACGATTCAGTAGATTGGGCTAAAATATTTGTGCAAGAATGTACACGTACAATGCTATATTTTGGCAGGCTACCCTGAAGTCTGTCTCGAGAAAACTTGATCAATTTGCTAAAGTGCAAACAAGAAATATTTCCTTTTTTTAAGGTTTGAGGCTGACTTTTTTTAGTGGGTTTTTGTAATGATCTTCCAAGATTTTTTTGCTTGGCCACCAACTGCCAATTTCCCAAGGGGTCTACAAGGTTGTGGTTGTAGTTCTTATTACATTTGGTTAATTGGAATATTGTGGGAAGGATGAAATCTCTAGCAAACCATAGGTGCTTGTTTTCATAAACTATATGCGGTTGTTTAGGGGGAAACCTAGATTTGTCATTTTTGTTCAAAAGTACGTCAGTTAACTTTTTTCAGCACTATCTTGCCTTTGAAAAGAAATTTGAATCTATGGAAAAGACTAAAAGCCAAACCCCTTCATATTAAAGAAAGGAACTTTCTTATACAAGCCTGTCCATCCTGCTGGATTTAATGTGTAGGGAAATTTCCATTTGCCAAGATTCATGCATTATAAATACATATATTTCAGTCTATATTGTAGACCCGATCATTGAAGGAGGGGGGAATGATTTACATCATTTAAAGTGTTGAATTTGCATTATTATCAACTTGTCTAATGAATTTTATGAGTTATTGTAATATTTACTCCACTTGTTTGGTTGCATTTGTACCCTTTTTTTTAATGGTCAGTGACTAAGTCTAGGCAACTAGATTGTGAGACGTGATGGCTGTTTTGTATTTCCCAGGTGGGGGTTGCGGAACTTAAAGTTGCTGTTGAAAGAAGTGGTGGAATAGTTGTGCTTGCAGAGAGTTTTGGTCATTCTGTTTTTAAAGATTCATTGAAGCGGATTTTTCAGGCAAATGACAATGATCTTGGATTATCATTCAAGTAAGAATTTATCTTTAGATTCATATTTTCATTTGTTTTCATGCATGGAAAGTGACTTCGTTAAAGGAGAGTTTTTCTTATCTTATTCAATAGAGGTCCCCTCTACATGTAGTAAAATAATCAAAATATATGCATGGAAAGTAACTAAATATATTTAATTATCCTTTCTTAGCATTTTCTAAAATAATATCTCTCAAGTTGGGCATATATTATGAACTAGCTCTGGTTTATTACATAATCCTAATGTAGGAGGTCTAACTCTTTTGTAAAAATATTAGCCATTTGATTGAATTGTGTATATGATGAGTGATAATATCTTTTGATGGTTCAACATGCCGATTGAAATGACAGTCAAACTCATTATCTTTGGCTTTTTTGCGGAACATAAAATTGCTATTAATGTAGATGATATCCTGATTGAAACTAGAGGTTGTGTAACTGGAAGATCGAACTCCCTCTAAAATAATGTTACCATAATATTTTGCATGCAGAATGGGTTATCGTTCTGCATGATAATTTGTTTCTTATTTTTCTGCAGGTCAGGTTACCTCTAACAAAATTTTTATATTCAAAAATTGACATTTTATCTTCACCATAGCTAAATACTTGACATTTGAGAATGTGAAAATGTAAGGATTTGCAAAGAAAATCTCTTGTATTTGATTTCCTTAGTGATAAAAAAATAAACAAAGAAATTCCACCACAGAACAGCCTATACACAAATCAGATCAAAGAAGCTCTCATAGTAAAGATTAGCAAGAATTAAATCATACAATTAACTCAGTGATGCTAATCATTATTGAAATACTACAGTTTACATAATTGGGGTTATGATATTGATTTTGGTGAATGTTATTCTAGTCATGCTTGTAGCTTTTGATGTGATGGCTTTTGATGGACAAATATATACTACTTAGCTGGGGTTATGATATTGGTTATAGTGATTTTTTGGATACTAAATCGAAATACAATAAGCACAGTTTATATCTAATTAGTGGACACAAGTGATTCCCATTCTTATCTAAATTTATCTAAATCTTTGTTTTATGTTAGTTTTAATTTAATGAAGTTTCTCTTGACTTGATGCCGAATTACCTCATAACTTTACAATATTGAATTAAATCCCAAAATTACTCTACGGCTATTCAGATGTGGTCAATTTAATTCTAAAATTTTATAGTGCTCCAATATAGCCCCCATTCTATTGAAAATTGATCCAAAATGATCTATGGCACAGATATCATGACACAAAAATGATCTTTATTTAGTCTCTCGATTGGACAAAATCTATGAAATACGGACATGAATATAGGGATACTGGCATGACAGACTTGATATAATTAAAGAAAAATTGGACACAACACATCATTGACACATTTTTATATTTAATTAATTATTAATATAAAAAATATATTTTTCCATTCAAAACACAAATTATGCAAGAATACAATTTAACTTCATAAATTTAATTTATATTAAAAAACCTCATGTTTATGAAAATTAATTTTTATAATTTGATATAATATGTTTCAAATGAGACATCCAACTTATAACCCAACTTATTTACTAAAATTAAAAAAAAATCTATGATTACAAAGAGAGAATTACTAATGCTCGGTTTCGACGAATATTAGATGTATCTTTGATGCTCGAATTTGACAAATGCTAGAGAGAGCTTCAACATGATGAGAGATGGGGTGGTTTTGACCATGAGATATAATTAAGACTATACATATATTTATAATTTTTTAGTTGTCGTGTTCCATTTTGTTGAAAGTGTTAAACTCATGTCTGATGCAGTGTTGGGGTTTGTCCCGGAAGTGTTCGTGCCTGAAAAAAAAATTCAAATATATATTTTGAAGTGTTGGGGTGTGTCGGGCAAGTGGTTGGTTATGATACGTGCCAACATGGTTACGTCACATTTTTAGAAGTGTTTGTACTACATGGGATAAAATTGATCCCAAATTAGTCCTCAAGGGACCAATCATGATCAATTTTCAACTGTCGGGGGGCTAATTTGGAGCTTTGCAAAACTCTGGTATCAAAGTGGCCAGCCACATCTGAATAGTCGCGTTGATTTATCCCTTACAATATTTATGCTAGTTTTTCTTTTTATGTTTGGAAAATTTCAACCCTTATGATTTTCTCAATTTGTTATTAGTAGTTACTCTAAGAGAGCCCATGCATATCACTCAGAACGTCTATTCTTGCTTTTTACTATCTTGCCTTTGAACTATTGGAGGTTGGAGCCGCAATTTTGGAGGAAAATGCGCCCCCCCTTCTAACCAGTGGCCTATTGCCAAGAGAGCAATGGATTATTTCCTTCTTTAAGTTATGTTACTTGGCATTCTTCTTGGTGCCAACGAGCGTTTCTCTTGTTATAGTTTATCATGAGTAAGAAGTTTGCTGTAAATTTTAACATATCTGCAGTGGTGTTTTTGAAGTTAATTGCTCAAAAGATGTAAAAATTCAAGGCGTTCTTGGTCCCTGTGCTTCACTTGAGAAGGTAAATTGGCAGATAAATGGGTCTATAAAACATTTCATTATTTATATTTTGACGCTTCTCTCTACTTTTGCTTTATACAGAAAGGTCCTTTATGCTCTGAAACAGTGGTCGGTCAGGGAAACACAAGTGCCTGGAAAATGTGTGGCCTTGACAAAAAAACATGTTTATGCATAATATTTGACATAGCAAGGAAAGATGGGCCTGATGCAGTTGGGCAATCCACAAACAGCCAATTCTACTTTCAGTTCTTAACATAGTATGTTTACCTTCTTATTGTAAAAGTGACATTTATTTTTTAGGGTTTTTACCTGCAAGGCACTCAAAACATTAGAATTTGCATATATCATACCCATATTATTCTAATTACAAATATAACACCTAAATTTCTTTTATAACCCCAAAATAGCACTCCTTTTGCTTCCCATTTTTTCCGTTACCCCCTGTACTAAAAAACCTGCAGAGTGGTACAGTGTGCTCCAGTCCGTTAAAACGACACCTCTTTCAATATCAAGCTCTCCTCCATAGAAACACATTCTCTCCGCCCCAAGTCGGCCTTCCCTCTGTTCGAACTCCTTGGAAAAATTTTCCCTATCACCAAACCTTTGTGTTTTTTTTTGCTGCGCTGCATTTTCTATTTCTGCCATGCTTTCGTTGTATATTGGTGTAATATTTAAATTCAAAATTAAATTAAAGTTAACGTACTGGAATGACTCTTAAGTGAATGATTTGATAATTATTAGTTTCATTTTTGACCAAGTAGATTTTGATTGCATTTTCTGTAAAATTTAGTTCATATTATTTCCAAATTCCTGTGGCCTTATAGAATCTAATGTGACATTAAACACTTTTAATATAATCGGTAAATTGAAATCTCCTGAGCCTGTTTTACTTTCAAATCACTCTCTTTCATTCTCTGCCCGCCATGAGTAATTCTTCTTGCATCTCCTCTTTCCTTAAGTACAGCATCAAAGCACATAAAACCTTTTTGTTTTCTTGTTTAGTGAAAGAGATGAAAGGAAAGAGACGGGAGATAACGGAGTGTTATTTTTGGGGTTTGTAAGGAGATTAGGTGTTGCATTTGTAAATAGAACGAATTGAGTCTGATATATTTAAATTCTAATGTTTCAAGTGCCGTGCATGTAAAAATCCTTTATTTATTTATTTTTTTGAAGCTGCATATTGCTTCAAACCTTAGGCAAAATTTGACAGACTAAAGGCATGATGCTGCAGTTACCAGCATCATAATGGCCGTATGAGGTTACGCACTACTACTCTCTCGAGAAGATGGATTGCTGGTTCTGGCAGTATTCAGGCAAGTTTGTGCTTTCAGATAACTGTTCTTGACAAAGCTGTGTTGTAGAAGAATAGAGGTAACATGCTTGTTTGTATACAAATACTTCATGGACAACCCAAAAAAATGTCCTTGGATTAGATGAATATTTTTAGTGTATATATTTTTCATGTTATATGTGATTCCTGGGAATTTCAAGACTGGTTTGGATAACTTTCAATAGCAAGAATGTAATACATTGTGAAATATAGGGCTGTCAATTTGGCTCGTTGTTCGTGAACAGCTCGTGTTCGGCTCGTTAGCAGCCCGTGTTCGGCTCGTTCGTTAAGCCTAACGAGTTGAACACGAATAAATTTTTAAGCTCGAAATGTAAACGAGCGCAACACCAAACATGTCTAAGTTTAAATTATAACACCTCATGTGACAATTTGGTTAGTGTCTTCTTTTGTATACATTTGATCTAAGTTCTGATTCAACACTTTACATCTATTTTTCTCAATTTTAGTTTAACGAGTCAATTTCGAACCGAGAACGAGCTGAGCACGAGCCGAACACGAACACGAATGTTTAAATCAGGCCGAACACGAACACCCTGTTCACGAGCCGATTTCGAACACGAGCCGATTTAGCACACGAGTTCGAACGAGTCGAACACGAGCCAAGCCTGAGCTCGCTCAAGCTCGGCTCGTTTACAACACTAGTGAAACATTGATGCGAAATATGATTATAAAACTTTATAGTTTGGTTTTGATTAAGAGCTGTAATGTAGAGTTACACATAAAGGGAAAATTTGCAGAATGCTTCGATAGTTGAAAGGAAGATGAGGGGAGAGGAAGCCTGGAACATAACTTAAGAAGTGATATTTAGCATTACGTAGGAGGCAGATGCCATACAAAATTTCATTTTTATTTATTATCCTACGACCTGCATCTATTTATTAATTATTACGTGACTCTTGGGACTATTTATAACAGGAGATCCTAGACAAGGCTAATTAAAATATCTGACAAATGATTATATTGCCTATGAAAATTAAGATAAAGAAAGATAAAGACTACTAGAAGAGAAATCCATTACTAATTTAACTAAACTATTGTGACATGCTATATTATCCATTTTCAGTATGCAAATAACTGAAAGTCATAATTTTACTCAAGAAGAAAATTGAAAGTTTGCTATTGTGCAAAATTAGAAAATCCATCATGTTTGGAGCATAACTAGTGTCACGACCCGACTCGGGATTTGGAATTAACCAAGATGGGAACAAAAAGTCGGATGATGTGAATTAAATTTTCGATGTTCATTTTTTATAACTTGCTATTAACAGAAGAAAAAACCACTAATTATTTTAATTAAAGCAGTATATTTAAATTTTATCACATCACCAGTTGTACATGTCTTTAATAAACATTTTTTCGTTTATCGTCCATTTTTTAATCACTTAAATTAACCTGAAAAATTAGTTAAAACAAATTGTGAGCTAAATAAGCCAGTGAATACTCATACTTATAAACCACAGTAGTATAAGTTTAAATAAAGCAATATGTATGTCAGTCAAGTTTTTAATAAATCAATAAAAATATTTGATGTTATTCAAAGAACCTTACTATATCAATAATATATCAATATCATAGTATATCTATACAACCATCACAATTGTGTCATCTAAAAATTATGTTAATTAAAACACATCAATTTCAATATTTTTTCCCATATACGTGCACGGATACCTCAGTGTTCCTCCACTAGTACCATAAATGAGTAACTACATCATAATTACTTATGCATATACAAACAATCAATATAAATGTATCATTCATGTGTTCATTATATTCAATTCAATATAACATACATTAATGCATGATAATTAAGTAGTTGCAAATATTCATAACAACGTGACCAAAAAAGAAAAGAACATATAATTCAAAATAAGGCTTATCTAATAATATAACATAGTGAAGAAAAATCAAAATATTATCATAAATTAAAAGTATGAGTACTTACCTCGATATCAATTACTTTTTGATTGAATTTGCCTTGACGTTGATTCTCTTAAATTAAAAACTCAACATAAATATGATATTTAGTTAATTTATTTTTTTAATAAACTATTATTTTTTCATTAATTAAGTATTAAATATATTTTATCTAAACCGATTTAATTTCTATTATATATATATATATAATGGTGGTTGAGAGTTCTGCTAGGGTTTCGAATGGTGATTTTCGTCGCCTATGATTCTGTTGCTCGAAGGAGAGGGCTTGTACCTCGTCTCTGTCATAGACTCTCCGCTTCCGCTCGTCACTTTCTGCTTCGTCGGCTCGCATCCTTCTTCGACGTTGACGGTTCTGTATGCGTCTCATTTCGACGACGTCCATCGTTCACGTCTGCATTGTCCTTCCTTTGTTTCGACGCCGACTTTCGCCTCTCCATACCCGACAGCTTTGGATCGCGTCTACGTCTTTCTGTTAGACGCTGACGTCCGCTTTTCGAGTTCTTGGGACTACGTAGACAACAATTCTATTGAGATCTTCTAGCAGGAGGATTTCCCTGCTCTGATGAAGCTTCCTTCTTCTTCGGTTAAACTTGACAAAGTCTTCTTTGCCCACATGGTGGGTAATCCTCAGGTGGAGTCGGTGGTTGTCTTCCTCTCAAGTTATAAGGACTGTCGTGGTGGTACAAATAACTGCCTCTTTGTTAAAAATGCAAGTAGGAAAAATTGAAAAACAACATTTTTTTTCTCTGAATTAGAAATTTTAATCATAACTAAGAAATTCAAGCTCGCTCTTATTGAAAAATTTCAATGGGGGCACCCACCTATGGAAGTTATCAGAAAAAAGTTTTGATGACCTCAGACTAGCAGGAAAGTGGAAAGTGAGGCTCATGGATGAGAGACGTGTTAATTCAATTAACCTTGGCTGAATACTACACTCGAATTTTCTCCATGAAAATATCTTAACATTTTAGGCAAGTCAATTAAGTTACTCAAGTGGTCTCCTGATTTCGATCCTAATCATGAATCTTCTACTGTGCCGGTATGGTCTAGTCTACCTGGTCTCAAGCTGAACTTTTTTCATCATCAGGTTTTTTACTCTATTAGGGTCATAATTGAGGACCCTATGAAGCTAGATCTACCCGCTTTCAACTTAACAAGGCCTTATGTGACCATATTACTTGTGGAAAGAGATATTATTTTACCTGATGTTACTAAAGTCCGGCTGTGCACAACTCAATAGATATTGACAACAAATCGTCATGGAACATATACCTCTTTATTGTTCTCATTGTAAGATGTTTGAGTATACCCTTGATAAATGTTATAAGCTCCATTCTAATTTGAAATCTAAAAATCGAGTGAATAAAGATGGGTCTAAGCCCACTTGTCACGGACAAATAGTCCCACATTGGCTAGGTGTAGGGCCGAAAAATAGCATTTAAGTCTTGGGTTGCCCACCTCTTTTAAGGGGCTCTTTTGGGAGGTGACAAGTGATATCAGAGCAGATTACTGTCTGTCAGGTGTGTGGACTCTCCGTGGTCCAGTAGGACCCTCGGTGGAGCCGATCCGTGACGAGGGCGTCACGTGATTGGGTGGAGGAGAATGACACAGACAAATAATTCCACATTAGCTAGGTGTAGGGCTGAAAAACAATATTTAAGTCCTAGGCTGCCCACCTCTCTTAAGGGGCCCTTTTGGGAGATGACACACTACTGTAGACATATATGTTCCACCTGAAGAGAAAACTACCACAGGAAAAGATTTGGTGTCTGATTTAATTATCCTGCGGACCCCCTGACAATATTGTTTCTGCGTTTGATGTGATGTTGGATGACATTATTGTGCAACCTACACTTTCAAACCCTATTGAAAATAGTACTGAAGGATCCTTACCTACAAAGGATAGTGTTCGGATTGATCATTAGAAGAACCTTGCAGCTCCCCATCTTCACGAAGTATCAGGTGTAAATGCGACAACTCATACTTTACATACACTAGAACTTATTGTGGGTACAACTGTTGGCAATTCTACTACAACTTTACCACCTCATCCGAATGAGGAATGATAGGTTTACACTTCCAAAGAAAGAAGAAGAATTGAGATCTACTTGAGCTAAGGAATCTAATGCATGATACTTTGATTACTTCAGATAATGGTACGCATCTCACCAATTTGTTAGCTGGTTCCCTTACGAGAACTAGAGGCAGAGACATAACTAAATTGGGTCGTCCCGATTGATCGTATATATATCATCTCTTTTTTGGTTTTTCTTTTTTGTGTGTTGTACCGTGTGGGTTGGGTGCCTATTCGGGTCCGCTCATACAACTTATCTGTAACTTTTTCTCTTTAATATAATTGCCCTTGGGTTTTTTAATATATATATATATATATATATATATATATATATATATAACAAAGATTACCCAAAACAATGCATGGGCTTCTTCCTCCCTTCGATAGCACGAGAGCCGCCTGCCCTTGTTCCTCCCACAGAAAACTCGTCTCTCCTTCACCTTTCTTTTCTCTTCTTCGACTTTTGGCTAGGACATGATTGAAGTCATTACGCATGCAAGGAAGCTCCTCTATCGTCTTCCTCTTCAACTCGGCTTGACAAAGCAACGCAAAGCTACGATTCTCTTCTTCCCTCGAGCACGAGTCCCGCTGCTTCGTTTCCTTGGGTAAGGAAGCACATTACATCTCTTTCACTGCTCTCAGACTGCGCGAACGAGCTTAGGTCAATTTATAGGTTGAGCATGTCTATTGGTTTCCGATCTCCTCGTTTAAATTTCCCGACTTCTTATCCTCTCCTGCTTCCCGACTGCTCGATTCATCTTCCTCTCCCTCCCTATTGTTCATTTACCTGACTCCTCGCTTCCTCTTCCTCAATCATTCATTTCTCATCCCCACTGTAACAGTACCATTACAACTAGAAAATGAAGAAACAAATTTAACTAGTTCCAAAGAAGAAGATATTTTGTTGGAGCACATCTAGAAAAAAAAAAAAGAAAATATTTTTTCGGGGAAATATGTTTTATTGGGAGCTTGTCTAGGAGAAGAAGGGTTAAAAATGACATATCGTGAAGAATGAGATATGAATGAACCATCTTCCCGTAAATGCATAACCATAGGATCGTCTAAATGTACAATCTTATGAAGCAATCGAACATCTCTAAAAAAAGTTATTTTTGCGCTTAAAAAATTCCCACCCACCTTTTGTATACCAGAGTGATTCCTCAAATTTTTAGATGTTGGATTGGATATTAGGTAAGACATTTCTCAGAAATTTCTCCTCCTAATAAGGACTTCATGTTATGTTCTGAGGTTTCTTATAATCCTCATTATTAATTACCTTTTTCAATCGTAAGCCGTTATGCTCTTATTGGTGCCATGCAAAAACGGTATTGGCTTTCTTGAGTTTTTAATTAAAAGGCATGATGGCACATAAACAATTCATCAGATGCAAAATTGCATTTTATTTATAGAACATACGACTTGTATAAAAGTGGATCCTAGTGGTGCAATCAAGTTTTTATAATATCAAAGGCTGTTATAATTAACAACACGGTTTATCGTAGAAAATGAATTCACTAGCACAAATATTTATATTTGAGACTAAGATATTTGAGACTACGCTTTTCAAGATGTTGGTCCGACTGACATTTTAATTTTACTGTGGCTATATGGCTATCAATTTTTAAATTCGTAATTGGTTCTTATGTCTTTATTATTTTTCTAGTGCTTAGAAATTAATGCGTACTCTCATATATTTTCTGGAAAACCTGTATATTACTGTAGGATTTGGTGGCTGGATTTGATCAAGAAACCGCTGCAGCAGTCATGGCACGGCTTGTTTCTTTTAAAATGGAAACAGAGGTACTTTACTGTTTGTTCTGACTCATAAGGTCTTCTATTTATGAGCCTTGCCTTTTCTACATGATATATTCTGTAATTTTCTGTATTCTGTTGGTGGTTATGATTAAGTAGCTCCTTCTTTGTTTGATGTTTCAGCCTTTTCTGGTCAATATGCTAATTTTTTTTATTATAGGTCATGTGTGCACTACGTTGATTAAATTCTTCTATGAATGCTTTTCTTAGCACCTTAAATGCACCATCCTTGAGGCTGACTGACGTGAGGCGTAGGAGGGCTGAACTGGCTGGTTCAGCTGAACCAGTTTAGCTCTACTATTACATGCCAGCCGGCCCAAGGGAGGCAGGTTTTATTGCCCAAGGGGAGGGGCCTTTCCTGCTTTTTCTATCTACTATTATAATAAGTTATTTGTTGTGTTTAGCGTTAATTTTTAGTGGGTTTGTTTCTGAATTTTGTCAGGACAACTGCTGGCGTTTTTCTCTTTGGGGGTTGTATCCGACGGATTAGGTGGTGGTTCGGTTGTATCCCTCTCCCAAGGTGGTGATTTTCCTCCCCAGCTCCCCTTCGCATTCCACTTCTCTTCCACTGTTTCCAGTCAACGCCCTCCCCTTTTCTGCCCAGCCACCAATCCCTAAAGTGCCTTCCTACTGTGCCACTGAAGCCTCCCGGTCTCTGTTGATTGCCGCACCCTTTATTCCTGGTTGCAGACTATTTGCTACCAAGGGATTTGCCTCCACACTACAGCTCTTGCCTTCCACCTGCCTGTTGAAGCCGTGATCCTCTCCTCACAAGGCTGCTGCAGCCATGAACCTTTCCCACTGGTCTGGTGTGCCGTTAACACCCTCATCCCCCCTAAGCTACTCCCCATCCCGTAAGCCAACAATTGCGACCCTAGGCCTACCAACCCTTCCATAAGTCATTACACCGGCTTTCAAGGGCTGCTAGCCAATCCTTCCTCCTTCTAACGGTACCCATAGCCTCCAACCAGCCCTCCACCGACTAGATACCAACCACCCAACACTTCGTCCTTCATTTCGGTGTGGGTTGTGTTTGTTTGTCGTTTATTCCTATTTTGAAGAGTCATCGTTGTAATCGGTTTCAATTCCAACAATAATATTTATATTCTTATTGTGGTTTGGGTTAACTCCGATATCGTTTGGTATCAGAGCAAGTCTAACTATAGTCCTATCCTAGGGTTTTATAGCATCCGTCATAACTCAAAAATTTTCTTTCTTTTCGCCAAATACCCTTTCCACTACCACATATCCCTAATCCTAATTCCCCTTTGCTGATTTTCAAAATCAACAACCTTAAACCAATTATTTTTACCATTTTTCATCTCCTAACCTTAAACCCTAGCCATATCACTAAGGAGATACAACGAAAGGAGATGAAAAATGGAGAGTCGAAGGGGAGTCAAAGACGAGAATCTGAATCCCTTCAGTAGAGAGGACTTTACTGATGTAGGAGACCAACCACAATGCTTTGAAATCCAATATCAGAAGAGGCTGAGAGAAGAGCCAACTTGTGGAACGGGAGAATCTAAAAATGAAGTGATAGTTCCTACCGGCTTAGTATAGATAGAAGATTCAGACCGTAGCTTCAGAAGTGGAGAGACCACTTCACATTGCGACCACCACATTTTACATGCAACAATTACAGCCAAATTATACCCAAGATAATATCCTAGCTGACCCTATCAAATGAAAAGTTAAGTCAGAGTGGAGAACAGGTGGAAGTGTTGCAAGTGCCACAAATTTAGCCATGTTGAATCTGTTTCACAAAACAATGTGTTATTGAAAATTTGAGCAATGATACAGTAGACACTGAAAACTTTGATGACACACAACAAGAGGATCAACTTCCAGTTGAAGAAAAAAATAGTGATGCAAAAGAAGATGTAGACTTTAAAGAGAATTTTCAATTTTCAGCCAATGAGAAAGAGACGTCATCGCTTCCAGTTGACCCCAAGTTAGAGATTCCAGCTGAGGTAACAACTGCTGCTGTAGAAGGTAGTGATTTCAATGTAATGGGCATTCCGAAAGAGTATGAGATTATGGTACCTCGAGCTAGCATTTTGCAGGTCTGGAGAGAAACATCAGCAAGACTGACCTTGGATGTCTGCAAGGGTTATGTGTTTTGAGGAGCCGACATTAGATACAAGTCTACCACAGATAAGAGAAATGCAGATTTTTCAGATGGATATACCCCCACCTGAGTTACCTTTATGGAGGGATGTCCAACATGTCAGAAGTGGGGTCATTTTATGTCATGTCGGGAATATTATGTGGAGTTATTCCGAGGTTATTTTCAGTTGAACCTAATACTTATCATCAGATTTATAGACAGGAGAGATGAATCCCAGCTTTGTAATGGGCCTGAGGAGCTTAATGGGGATGAAAATTTTTCAATGGGGCCTATTAGCGAAGAAGAGGTTTCTCCTGAGTGAGTTTTAGTGAAAGTGGTGCAATCTGCCACAAATTTCACCCCGAAGTTGATTTCTCCTCACTAGTTTATCAATTGCACTCAGCCGAGTATGAGGAGTAGAAGAAGCAGGTTACAACTGGGATAGGTCGATGCTTGATTTGTGAGAGCCAAAAGTGGATGAATATGCGTTTCTATAAGAATATGCTTTTCTATCAGAATATGTTTTGGAACGACAATGCCTATTTGTTCAACCTATCAGGGCACTTGATGCCGAGTTATGAGGAACCAAAAGCTTCGACGAATAAATTCGAAGCTCTCCAACCCAACAGACTGATGCGAGGCTTAGGAGGGCTGAACTGGTTGGTTCAGCTGAATTGGTTGGTGAACAGTGAGTTTTTTTTTCAAGGCCTAGCTCGAATTGCTCTCTTCTCGCTATTATGCATCTGTATCAATAGATCTCACTCATTGCTATGTTTTCTCCTATTCGATCACTATTTCGCATCTTCCTTACATCTCTTTAGTTTGCTTGCTGATCGCATTTTCACTTACATCTCTTTAGTTTGCTTGCTGCATTCGTAGGTTAGGATATTCACTTGTGCAATATGAATTTTATTCTAAAATTTTCAAAATCACAGCCTGGCCGCACCTTATTATTGACTTGAGAAATTTGAAAGCAGCGCCTTATTAATTGCTAATATAATATTTCAAAATAATAATAATAATAAAGTTCATAGAATACCACCGGCTCTCTTAAAAAGGAAGTAAGGAACATTATAGGGTTTATGTTTTTTTAAGGGAACACAACTGAAACTCTTATGAAAGAAAATCACTTAACCTATAAAATGTTTTCTCTATTTGTTCATCTCAATTCTCATGTTCCCTATCCAACCATAGTAAACGTCGAGTGTTGCATCAATTTTACTCAGGTTCTAAAAAAATTAGCTATGTCGAATTGTTTAATTGATATTGTGAAGAAATATTGGGTTAGACTCTTGCTTCTTGTATGGTAATCTATTAAATCACCTCTTATATGTCACATTGGCACATAAGTTATCGCTTGTATCACTTTTCAATAGTGAATAAGGTGTCATTGTTTAATATAATTTCTAGCATATGATTTATGTGATTGTTTTGAAAAGTGTTGGATGCGAATCTTGAAGGGGGAGAGGGAAAGTTATGGTTAATGTTTCATGATATAAAACCGAATTAGATACATTATAAATTAGACTAATATCTGTTTTATTTGGGATTTTCAATTTGTCACTGATCATTCTATATATTTATACGGTTTTATGATATATCTTTTTTTTAGCATTTAATCTCTCAAGGTTCCTGCAAGAAGTCTTTCTAAATATAGGCAATTCATTATATTATACCTTTTTTATGAGAAAGTAGGTTCTAATATCTCCTCGTTAAGAAAGCTAAAGAGGAAAGATAGATGGGGAGATTACAAATTATGAAAACTTGGCAATACCCTTATAACAATAAAGAGGAAACAAGAATCTAATCATATCTTATAAAAAGATTTTTTTTTTGGATTATCCAAAAAATATTGATTTTTGATATTATATTATTATCTTTTGATAATTTCCAACTTTTTCGTCTTTTAAGTAAAAATCCACAAGCAGTCTAAAGAGTTGAAATTATAACATATAATGTTCTCAGATTTTCCTTTAGCTTGGAAGGATCCCATGTTCCTCAAACTTCAAATGGTATATTGTTTGTTGTTTTATGAAGTAGTTTAATTTTATGCATCTACTGTTCACATATGCAGTAACTTATAGTTGCCATATTTAGCATTCAATTTCTCATAAATGTTTTTTGTTAGTCGTGCAAATGTTGCATGAATGATTGTATAAATTTACTCGATATAGATTTGATAGAAAGTTCGATAAGATTTGTTGATTTTCTTGAATGAAATCTATGATTATCAAATGAACTTAATCTATTATGTCTATTGATGGACAAACTATATGCAAACTAAATTATAAGTAATATCAAAATACTAGTGATACATAAGATCACTTATTTGAAATATTGCATAAGTACGTCATTGTGTGGGTAACAGACAATTGAAGATTTTTGTTGTTTTCTTTTCTTTTTTATGGAGTTTTCTGGAAATCACTCATAATTTTTTTTCAATCACAATTGTATTGGATAAATCTTGGAGTTTAAAAATTTCATTAAACTATAATTTGTCTCTTTATGAAGCAAGCATCAATAATTTAATTATATTGTTTCATTTTAGTGGATCACTCCATAGTGACAAAAAGTCTTATTTTTTGAAAAGTACATGGAAGTTTTGATATGAAATCTATGCTAACATCTTTGATAGGTTTATAAGGAATAACACTTGTACAACCCAATTTTATTTCTTTTATTTATTTTATGCGCTTGCCAAGTTTTGTGCTGTAAAATTATTTCGCATGTTGCTTCTTTTTATATTTTTGGCCAATAATATCCATTCTCAATGATAACTACTTGTTTTCCTCACATAATTACTTGAATCACCATATTAAAATTTTAGAATTAAAAAATCTTAAAAATGAATCATAAATACATAAATGAATTCCTTCAA